TCGTGCATCCACCTCATCTTCTGCCAGAAGCTCCTGGGTTTCATTCGGTCGGGGGAAGCAGGTGAGTCATCGTGGCACGGAGGAAATCGGAGCGGCTTCGCCGCCGCAGCAGGGCTTCCTCTCGCCGGGGCTGTCAGCGCCTGGTGCCTGCCCAGCGGGTCGTGCCTCTGCTCCGGGTTAAAAAGGCATTGCACGACCCATTTTTAGGGATGCAGCAGATCCCAGGGTTTCCAAGGGATGAGCGGGGCTTTACCCCTCCAGCCCTGTTAGTACAGGCTCGCTGCCTCCGTGGAGTTGAGCTGAAATAGCTGCTTAGCAGGGTTTACCATGCGGTTCATGGGTGGAGCGGGGCTGGAGAGGGCATGGGAAACTGGGGTGCTGGCATTTCATGTTTGCTGCTATGCAGGGTGCCACTGTATCACGATATGCTCCTCGTCTGATGCATCCTACACCGGGACAACAGGCCTACGCCGTGGTCTGTCCTACCAGCAGGAAGTCTGAGTTGTCCTCAGTTTACCCCTAAAATGAGCCATCTCAGCCCAGCCAACTGCTTTGTCAGCCTGCGTGTTCAACGCAAGGGAAGGCCCCTGGAAAGAAAGCTGTGGCAGCGGGGATGCAGATTTTCATTTCAGAAAAATCAGCAATTCATTGAGGCTTGTTCCAGCGCCGTTTCTGAATGCATTGCTGCTCCTTCTCCGGTCGGGTTTAACCTCAAGTTGAGAGAGGTTGAGGGCAAGCCCCAAACGCAGGCAAAAATGATGGATGTTTGCAAGGGGAAAAGGCACGATAGCTGGGCAGACTGTCACCAACGTGAGTGGGTTGTGCTGCATCCCTGCAAACACCACGTGCGCATCGCACAACCCTGTCCAAAACCTCCCCTTTCTGTGCGATTTACTGGTCTCCTGGCTCACAGCGCTGCAGCCTGTGTCAGGGAGGCTGGGGGGATGCTGGTGGGATCTGGAGGGCTTTCTTGGGGGCTGCTCCTGCACGCAACCCCCCGATGCCGTGCTCTGCATTCTCTCCGACAGCAAAACTGCTGAACTGGCAAAGTGCTGACCGGTGGCTGCTGGAGAAGTGCATCAGCGGGAGCCAGGGCATGTGGCGCTTTCGGGCCTTCGTCCAAGGAACAGCAGGTGGGCACGGGGCTCTCCGCAGCCCCTTCTCAGCCAGCCGTGGGCCAGCTGCCTGGCGGGACACTGGCACAGAGCTGAGGGCACGGGTAAGCACCGGTGGGACAGGAGACACTGCCATCCCAGACACGGCTTTGGAAGATGAGCCAGCAGCAAAACCCCCAGCATGGGCGCTGCACGCTGGGGAGATGCATAGCCCTGGCTCTTCTCTACATTGTTCCCTCGGTTCATCCAGGCGATCTTTCCGTCTTTTTTCTTTTTTTAAAACACACAGGCTCCTTCACTCATCAGCAGGGCTTTCAGGGACTCCCTCCAACTCCCGTCCCTTGTCTGATCCATAGGGGAAGAACTGACCAACTTCTGGCTCACCGCGGAAAGGCTCCTGGGGCTTGACGAGTCGGATGCGAGGCAGAGGGACCTCTACCTGTCCTTGCTCCACAGGCTGAAAGCCACTCACCTGCGCGAAGGCTCCAGGGTCTTCACTCTCTGCAGGACCATCGTTGGTAAGAAACATGGGAGCCGGGGACGAGCAGTGCCCTTCCAGCGAGGTGGACTTTCCTGGATGCTCCCAGGGAGATGGGATATCATCACCAGCTTTGCTTGGCTGGGGAACTCCCCTGGCACAAACAGGTCTGGATGGAGCCAGCCCCGCCATCGTAATCCCCTGCATCCATTTCAGGGTCGGTGCCGAAAGCCAGGTCCGTTCAGCCCATCAGCACCAGGAAGGAGGTCCTAAGCAAGATGCAGGAACGGGCCCTTTTTATGATTCAGAGTTACTGGCTCCCTAAATTCTTCATCCACTGCAAGATGGGCATGGAGGAAGAGAAATCGTGCCGGCCTCTGCTGCAGGAATATCGGGAGCGTTTATTACAGGCCAATTTGCAGGACCCCTCAGGCTTTTCAGAGAATCTCTTCACAAGGCATATTAAAAGGAGCCAGGGTTTGTCAGGGCCCTACTGCAGCAAGAAGGCCAAAGCGGAGATCTGGACTCTGGTCAAGGAGGGAAGAGACACCCAAGAAATGAAGATGCCCAGTTTTCAGGTCAAACCAGAAAGGCAGCCGGGGCCAGCTGGGAGCACAAAGGAATCACGTCTGGATAAGGATGCTTTGGGATCAATTCCTCAGCAGTCAGAGCATCCTGCAAACACTTCCTTTGGAGGCCAAGGAGGAGCAACCTCTCCCAAAAGACCTAGACCCAATGCAGAGCAGGTCCTTCATCCGGAAGACCTCTGTGAAGAGAAAGTCCTCTCTAACCTGCGTTCCTCTGCACCCCTTGTCCAGCTGCGATCCCTGAAAAAGCCGGTCAAGACCTTGAGTTTCCTTCCCTGGGCCCTTAGCGCCGAGACCTGCGCGGGACGGCCATTCAGGGACTTCTTGAAGCGACAGGACCTGTCTGTGGAGACTCGTCTCCTGGACCTGTGGCATGACCTGGAGGAATTTCTGCCTGTGGTGCTGGACCCCCGCAAAGAAAACAGTTTCTTCCTGCATCATTTGATCGGGGAGAAGATATGCAAGACCTACCTGGAGGAGGGCACCATTCAGCAGCTTCCCTTGGAGGCCAGGACTCTCAGGAGCTTGCGGAACCATCTGATGTCTGGAGAATTCTCCCCCTGGATATACAGAGCCCAGAAGGAGATTTGCAAGGTACAGCATGGTGCTGGCAGTGGGAGGTACAGCTGGCATTGGCACCCCTGGGCTGGTGTGAGGGCTCTGGGCACGTTTAAGAAAAGAGGTTTTTGGAAAATGAAGATAAAAGAGATTAGGAAGGGAAAAAACACTTACAGTCACAAGCCACCTTGCACTGGTACCAGTGACTAAGGCCAGTGGAGAGGAGCATCCTCACTGGTTTGCTGGGCAGTGGAGCAGAGGAGAGCAGTCATTTAGCAGCTGGTGACCTCGGTTGTTAGACGCACATGCCAAGGGCCAGGGGATGGCAGGGCAGTGGCCATCCTTTCGCATCTGAGTCGCTGGTTCCAGCACAACACGAGTAAAACACATTTACAACCCAAGCCCTTCTGGGCAGCCTCTGAGCAGCCCAATGGACCAACCTGGGTGTACAGCTCCTGGCAGGGCTGTCCTGGGCATCTCAGCAAGGTGTAACCTGCCCACGGCATCACCACTGCGACCTCAGGGTACGGTGGGGCTGGGGGGTGGCGGTTGCTGCTGGAGCTCTGACTGAGGACAACCTGCCTTTGCTCCTCCTCAGGTGCTCTGCTGCTTCTATGACGAATTTCTGGCTGATGATGACAGGACGTTCCTCCAGTTTACGGTAAAGGGGATGCAGAGGGGACACGAGCATCCTCGTGGGGTGTGCAGGGGATGTGAAAAGTTGGAGAGAGGGAGGCAGGAGAAGCCCAGAATTAGCTGACACTGCTTCCCCCGGCCAACGCTGCCGCAGGGCGATACGGCAGAGCCTGCCCTTCTCCAGCTGCCCGGAGCAACGATCCTCAACTCTTCCACCACAGCATCCCATAAGTCAGCAGCGCTGCAGGCACGCCCTGCAAGAGCTCCCCTGAGACGGGCCGTGACCCGGCCCAAAAGCAGGGAAAAACTTAAGTGCAGTCTTTCGGGGTAGGCGGGGGTGAGACCAGCAGCAGGCAGCGCGCAGGGTAACTGCCTCACGGTTGCCCACTTCTGGGAATTAACTCTCCCCTTTTTTTCCTTGCCAAATACTGCTATTAATGTGACTCATGTGCAGACACACATCCGTAGGTCCCTGTCCCGGCACGAGCGCCTGGCCAACGCGCTGGGGGAAGAGGGCATGCAGCCTTTTAGCCTGTGATTCAACCGCACTCAAGTTTTCCATATATTTTTTCCATGTATTTTTTCCACTGTTTAAAGGGATGATTTAAGAAAGCAGAGTCATACAAGCACTCATCTTCCCAGACTATTATCCCTCCTAGCAGCAGAAATCCCACTAATACCTCATGTTTATCAACGTCCTAAATGCCAGCCTTACACGAGGAAACCTCTTCACAGACCGAAACCCCCGAGCCTCCCACCTGCATCCCTGCATGAGCTATGCAGGCAATTTTGCTCACTGCAGACAGCATTCTTCGAACCAAGCATTAGGCTTTTCCCCAAACCGCGATGTAAAATCAGCAGCTGATCCTGGAAATGGTAAGGAGAGGCTGTCAGGGCTAGTGCCCCCAAAGACCTGGCTCACAGAGGTACCAGCCTCTCAGTCAGCGAGAGCCGAGCATTTTGGAAAAGTCAACTGGCGGCTCCTGACCCTGATTCATTAAATGCTCTCGGTTGTAAGTTAATTAGCTGCCCAGGTTTTTAAGCATCTCTTGTCAAGGAAATTACCCCTCAGAGCACAGACATGGTCTGGGAGTGCAATTAGCACTTCAGCAGGTGTGGAGGCCGCGCTCTCCGCAGGCACCATCCCCTAAGCCAAACTCCTCCTGGGTCTCGCTGCACTGATATCAGGGGAACAGCTCGGGGGGCTTAGCAGGGTTATTTTTGGTGTTTGCTCTCAGCAGCCTGTATCTCGGTCAGAAACCAGCCGCTCTGACCCTGCTGCTTGGCGAGTCGTGCAAACTGCTCGCTGGCGGGGAGGGCCAAAACCTGCAGGAGGGGCTCGGGGTTGGGGGGGGCGAGGGGGTCACTGCCAGGGCACCGGCCAGAGTCCGTCCCAGGGACGGCAGCCAACTCAAAAGGCAGACGAGGTTACCTGTCTGCCAGGGACAGCTTCAGGGTTGTTTTCAGCCCTCCTGGGTGGATGTTGACCTCTTCAGGAAAGCGGCTGCCTTTGCTGGCAAGCCGTTGTCTGGACTACCTGGGGGACCTGCTGAATGTCCCCGGTACGCCCCAGCTGCAGGCAGATGTGAGCCAGCTTTAAGCAGCTGCACGGGTAGGTTTAAGGTCTATGCTGAGCTTCACGCTCACGTAGATTTCTTCCAGACAGTTTAAAGCTAAAGCAGAGATCTAATTTGGGTAGGTTTGTGCTCTAAGGCACAGTAAAACGTGCCGCTAGCCCATTGGGCACAGTGCGGGAGCAGCTCCTCGGATGGGGTGTGTGCTCTGTGCAATCACCTTCTGCTCTTCTCGCTGTAGTCTCCACGGAGCGATGTCCCGATGCCCGAGATGCAAGGCCACCCTGTTGGGAAAGATGAATGTTTCCTCCTGTCCCAGCGGATAAACCAGTCCTTGAAGCTGAGCCAAGCCTTGCATGGCACAAGGAACTTGGAAGGTCTCTCCTCCAAGCACTGGCGATTAATTGCCACTCGGGACCTCCAGAAAGGGAGCTCCATCCAGGCAGAGGTGGAACCTCTCCTGTGCAGCACCGGTAAGAGGAGGCTCTGAACTTCTGCTGTGGCTCATGTTGGCTCAGGCTGATAAAGCACATTTTGTGCACCCGTGGTGACCCATGCCCCTAGCGCACAGATGCATTGCTGTATTGCTGACAGGACATCATGGAGTGGGTTGGGACAGGGTATCTGGGAGCCATCAGCTGTAATCCAAACTTTGGCAGTGACCTATGGGCCAAATTCCCTCCTGCCAGTACCAGAGGCACCAAATGCCACATCCCTGCACTGGCCTGGGTCACCAGATCAAATGGAGGCTGCAGCAAAGTGACTGAAACCCAAAGCCAGCGACAGCCACTGTCACCCCACTTCCATATCTTGACCTTCTCCTGTGGATGCTGGGACTGGCCATGCTGGTGTAATACCTCAGCTTTGTCTTCTCACATCATCTTTTGAGAATGACAGCACGTTTCTGGGCACCTGCTGGTGCACTGAGAGTGACGGCAGTCACTTGTAGCAACCCTTAGGTAGCTTGTGGGGCCTCGGTCATACCTGAGAGATGCAGTGTCACGGGTAGATCATGGGAACAGGACACACAAGGGGAAAGAAAAGGTGAGTAACGATCACAATACAGCACTCAGAGCAAGTGCTGAAGGGCAGTTGTAGCCAGAAGGAGTGAACATGGGATCTGTCCCCTCTTCTCTATCTGAAGCAGACTCCCAGAAGATGATGTCAAATGAGCTGGTGGTTCAGAAACCCTCGCTGGCTGTGGATAGCCCAGACAAGGAAAATGAGCTTCTGTGTCTCAAAAGACCGTCACCTGGTGAGTCCAGTCTAAGCAAGCTAGAAGCAGGGTGGGCTTCCAACCATCGTGCCCTTGCAGGTGCTCCAGCATACCCTTAGGGGACTGGACAAGCAGGGGTCTTCCCTGCTTGCATCCCATCATCTGGTAGAACATCTCCAGAAGGAGAGAGAGGCCTAGCCACCCTTGAAAGGCATGTGTTTTGGGCTGTTAATCCAGCCAGAGAGGGTGGGAGTGTGAGGGCTTCTCTGAAGCAGATGATGAGGAGGTCAAACCACGTGGAGGTGAAGAGTTCCCACAGCACCCAGTGTCTCCTGAGCCGGGCTCACCATGCAGACATCAGCATGGTGGCTCTGGGGTCCTTTGCCCTGCGGACAGCTGTGAGCAGGCTCTGGCTGTCACCTGAGGAAGGGGCCAACCCTGTTCTGTCCCCACAGCCGTTGAACCCAAGGACAAAAAGAAGAGGACTGTTGCCGTGAGAAAAACGAAATCAAGCTCGACGAAGTCCACCCCTGTTGTGGTAGAGAAGCCATCTAAAAGACCCAGGTTTGGCATCTTTCAGCACAGGGCTTTGCTGTTTTTTGCTACTTCCACTCTTTCAGGAAGCAGATTTTTCCCAGTGCTTTCCTGTAGTGCCACTGCTCCCTGCTTCGTCACTGAGGCCTCTCAGATGTAGGCACGGGTGGCCCGTGGGTCTGAACTGTAGAGTCACCAGGGAAAGGAGAAAAGTATTTTAACACACCCCCAACCTCATAGTTCAGATCTGCTCCTCGTATCTTGTGCATATCTCATGCACTTCATCCTCAGTCAGTCCCTGGCACGCCACCCGTACTACAGCTGGGCAGCTCTCAGATTCCCAGAAAAATCACTTAAAATCACCCTGTGACCACACGTAAATCTCTGTACTCGCTGACCGCGTGAATGTCCATGTGGCTCATGTCTCACCTCCTGGGAATACTCCAGACATGAGTCCTCGCAGCTCCACGTTGGGATATGAACAGTAACCAGGACACAGGTCCTGAGTAGGAGCAGCTTCTATTGTTTATTGTGAAAGTCAGTCTCAGGAGCTACACTTAAACAAAGAAATATTTGACACAGTCCACTGATCTTCAAATAAGGGCTTGCTAACCTTATAAATGACCCAAAATGCCAGTCCACTCCCAGCTCTGGTTTTCCAAAGCTCTGCTGAATCTTTTCAATGTAGCTGTCCTCTGGCTTTACATCTATCGATAATCTCCTGATCTACCAGTTGCAAGTGGCAAGGGGTTTCCACTCCAGAACACCTTCTCCATGGCCAAATGCATGAAGCCCTCTGCCGTCCAGTGGTAAATTATTGTTTATTCTCAGCAAGTGCCAGAGGGGAGCACAACCTCCTCTTCCCACTAGTCCTTCCAGGTGCCCCATCCTTACCTGCCTCCCTCTCCTGGTCTCTGCGGGGCTGCCCAGACCATTTGCAGGTCCTGAGGTCTCCATCACAGACCTGAAGTCCTGCCTTCTCCTTGACTCCCTGGGTGAAGCCTCCTCTTCAGAGCGGTTCCTTTGGATCCCTGCCAGCAAAGCTGTTGGGCAGGCGGACCTATGGCGGAAAAGAAACAGCTTGTCAGCAGAACCCCCCCCTGGATTCCCAACGGCTCGGTGGATCATGATCTTAAAGGTCTTTTCCAACCTAAACGATTCTATGATTCTATGGGCGAGACAGACAACGGAGGCTGTTCTCCACCAGTACCTTTACTGGCCCATCTGCTTCACAGATCCCACGCACCACTCATCCATATGTTTCTAGCTCTTCCTCAGGTGTGTCTCTCTTGTTGGAGAAGCAAGCACAGAGGTCCTGGCTATTTTCCAGATCACTGGTGGCACAGAGATCACGTCTCCTGGTGTCTCCTCCTCTACAGGCACTTCGTGAAAGTACTGCACAACCCTGCCCACCTGCAGTTCTTCAAGCAGTTCCTCGAGGAGCGCAACGCAGATGAACCACTGTGTTTCTGGATGGCTGTGGAGAAGCTGCTCGCAGAGACCAACCCCAAGACGAAGAGCTTGCTCATTGACAGCATTGTCAGAGATTATTTCCATGCCGAAATCCCAGCTGGTAGGCACCCTCTCACCCTGCACTTTACTCCATTCATGATGAAAGCCTCTTTTCCCTGAGCTGGGTGCTGGTTGTAGATTTCATATCCTCTTGCAGGGACCTGCCAATTCTCCTTTCCCTTCTAGTGGAGCATTTATTTGCTGAGGCCTTCCACTGCCACTTATATTTCTAGGAAGGTGATCTACTTCTTTGGCAGGATCTACTGACCAAGACCTGCAACATGCAATTCCTGCAGTGGCAGAAATAGCTCTTCCCTATCTCGTCTCCTTTAGATGCTCTTGGAGTCAGAGCTTCACTCCCAAAATATGCAATTAGCACAGTATAGAAAGGAAAAGGGATGGGACAACCAAATTTGGCAGACAGGGCAGCAGAGATGGGACAGGCTGCAACTTGGAAATGTGAGGGTAGGAAGAGATGTCATGGTGGCTTGGAGGTGGCTGGCAGGGGCAGGCAGTGACCGCACTTCTCTTCCAGAGGAGCGGCTGGACTGCCACACTTCTATCATCAGAGAAATAAATGAGGCCGAAGTAGTCAGCCCCTTCATGTTGATGACAGCACAGATCTTTGTCCAGAAAGCAATGGAAAAACGATGGTGAGGACCTGAATTGAGCTGGTTCAGTGGTTACACAAACACATTCTTCCCAGGGGAACCCCAAGGTGACAGACAGCAACTGCTACAAACATATTTCCCTATGAACTATCAGCCGGTGCATCAAAATCCCAGCCAGACCCCCACCCCAGCAAAATTGCTGTCGCAGCTGCTGATGCATTTACCTGTGCAGGGCCGGCAGGGCATGTTCCATGGGGACCAAATCACTGTTGGGCTTGCAGAGTGCTGGGCTGGAGGAGGAATCACGCTGCAGATAAGCAGGGTGGACACTCCCAAGCCTGCTACATGCAAGAATAGAGCCCAGGGGAGGGGATCCAGCCCCCCGTCCCTTTCTCCAACCTCCTCCAGGAACCGAAGTCCCATGGGACTCGAACCCCAGGGCCATCCCTGTCAGCTTCTCCCCCTACTTAGCCACCCTCACACCAAACCACTGCCTTCCTCATGCATCTGGCTGCCCTTGATGCTCTCTCTCTGATCTCCCATCCGGCAGGTTTAAAGAGTACCAGGACCTGTTCCCCCCGAGCGATACGCATAAATCTAACCTTCGTTTGCAGCATGGGATCGGGAACTTCATGAGAGACAAGCTGGTAAGGAAAGACCCTCTCTGCTGGCAGGCTGAGGATGTTGTCCAGGAAAGAAAGAGAGGAGACGCTGTGGGTCAGGCGGTGCTCACGTGAATGGGGTGAGGGGGTCAGACTTGGAGGGTTGCAAAAAGGCAGCTGATAGGTAAAGCCTCACTCCTACAGGCTCTGGCGTCCTGCTCCATGCAGACTCCACCAGCTTTGGTCAGCACTGGCCAGGTGATTCACACTATCCCCTATGGCCACCAGTGAAACCCAGAAATACTGGAAAGCAAAGATGATGGCTGGGTCACAAATCCCACTGCCAAGGCTAGGCTCTGGTGCTCCAGCTCACAGCGGTGGGTCCAAATGGGAGGGCTCTGCCTGGGAGCAAGCCCTGTTGCTGCAGCCAGGGGCTGGCTCCCCGGGGCTGTACCGTGTCTCCGCAGCGGCGGGCTTGGTGTGCCGTTCACGACGCCGTCAAGAGCATCTGCAAGTTCCGGAGGGAGATGGACAATGACAAACACCGTGCGGAGTTTGAGGACTTCCTCCGGCGGGAACTAGGGAATGAGGAGGAAAGTACGGCTAGACTCCTGCCACCCCCTCTCCTCCCTCCCCACAACAGTCCTGAGTTTAGGCAGAGAAGTAAATGGAGGAAAAACCTGTGGCTCATCTCCCATCCCCGTATGCTTAGTTTTCTCTGCTGCAGGCATATAAAGAGCCAGAAGCGCGGGTGTCTCAGGATGCCAGATATTGCTGTGCAGAAATCTGCATGCTTAGGCGCCGGAGTCGGGAGATGAGGTCCAGAATTTTGCACAGGCAACATGCACACATACACATTGGTGCAATAACTGGTTTTCTGATGCGGGTGCCCCATGATGCTGTCGCATCTCTCTCAAGCGATAACGTATATGCAAGTTTGCATCCCTTCCACAAAAACCAGGAGGCACTAAATGAAACTAAGGTGACACAGGCCAAAAATAAACAAATGGAGATGGTTTTCCATGCAGCAGGGAGATGAACTACAGAGTGCTTTGCCAAAGGATGTAGATCCTGAAGGTTTACACACAGGTTTGAGAGGAGGCTGGAAAAGCTGTTAGAAAAGAAATCCACTGAAATTGCTAAATATACAGAAACCCCATCTAGATCAAGAAGTCCCTGGAAATGAAAATGTTTGGAAGCTGGAGAATATTGTATATGGGGGAAGTAACACAGATGTTTCACCCTTCCTTCTCACTAGTTATCAGCTTCTGGCCCCTGTCGGAGACAGGATAACAGTGAGGCAGACAGGCAGACTTTTGGTCTAATGTACTGTGGCCGTCCCCTATGAAAACACTGAACATAAGCACTCCATGGGTGCAAAGAGGAGGATGGCTGGAGGAGGTTACTAAGCTGGGAGAAAGGCTGCACACTGGATGGGTCTGAATTCCCTGGAGAGCCTGGCCGCAGGAAGGGTGTAGTCCGCCTAGGTAGAAAGACCCTCAGCAAATTACTTGCATACAGGAAAAGCACGCACAAGCAAGGTGAAGGAGCAGGGTATAGCTCAGCATCGGATGCCCAGCTGGCTTCAAACCCAGCCTTGGGAGAAGCAGGACACAACAGCTCTTCCCCTCTCTCAGACTTGCCCATCAGCTCGATGCAGACCAGCAGCACTGTGAGCACTTTCCGCTCCCACACGGCCTCTGCCAGCACCCCACCGGACAAGGAGATGGTACTAGTGAAACGCCACCTGTTTAACAGCCAGCTCATTACCGTCAACTTCCTCGTCGACGACCTCCGCTTTTATCTGGAGATCGACAAGTAAGTTCCCTTGCCACCGGGTGCTCAGGTATCACCAGTCTCCCTTGGCTCTGGCCCAAACCCATCCTGCAGATAGTGCCCATCTCTCAGCAGGGGGTAAAGCCTGGTCCATGGATTTGTTAGCACACACTAAGGTCTGTGCTGCCACTCCTAAACTCCTATCAGCACCTCTGTGCAAGGCTGGACATCACATTGCAGCAAAAGACACAACCAAAATCTCGCCCCATTGCTGTCTACATCTAATCTGCTCATGGTTACCTGCCCCTGGCGCCCCCAAAAGCCTCCATTTCAACCAGAAAAAGTCCCCTGGCTCAGGGTTCCTGTTTGGGTATCCTAGAAGTACTTTTGGTTTGATAGTCCCAAACAATCTAACATTTTGCCTACACCTTTCCTGACATGCCAGTTGTAGCATTTCTCCATTGACTTTGCCCGGTTCCCTGGCAAACCCGTAAGAACAAGCCATGGCTGATGCACAAGACCCCCGCAGTCAGCACACCCCCACACGCGCAAGACCAGGTTTCGATTCCCCTCTTTTCCTGAAGAAGGGCAAACGTCACAACCTCCAGGTGAATGCCATGACCATGAGGGCAATAGAAGAGGGAAGTGGCTGTTCATCCCACCTGTTTCACTGCTCCACACCTCGTGGATAGCTTTTTCTGACCCAGTAAATATGGAGCTAAGACAGAACATGACTGCCTAGCCTAGCAAGAGCACTTGTCTCAGAGCAAGACCCCATGCCTTTGCAGGTTTTCCAGGCTGGCTGATTCAGTTGAAGCTCTGGCAGCCCGCAACATGAAGTCAGAAAAGGAAGTTGCCTTTCTCAAAAGGAAAGTTGCCATCATCAGCAAACTCTTCCTGAACTCCGATATTCCCCCCAAATTGCGGGTAAGATGCTGGGACCCGCCCAGGAAGGCTGAAGGCTGCTATCTCCTCATTGCTCAAGACCATTGCATTGCAGCTGTGAGCAGTTGTGGGGAAAGGAGAACCAGGCAGAGGTTTGGATCTGCTCCAGCAAAGCATGCTATGAAGCTTCAGAGCATGCTCTGGAGCTTGGGACTTCCACTTGGACTCCATGGGATGGGACCAGATCCACCCCAGCACTTGACCTAGACAGATTGAGAACAAGTGAGTGGACAAGGAGATGGTGAAATCCCCTACCTGCTGGAGAAATGCCAGGGCTGAAGCACCAGGATGGGTGCTGCACTCCACCAATTCAGTCCTTTCAGTCTCCAGAGGTCAATGTCACCATCATGCCCTCCCCACTGCACCCACCTCTTCCCCTACAGTAGCCGTGGCTCTGCCTATCTTGCCTTTGGAAAGCACAGCACAGTGCTTTCCACAGAAATCCAGAGGTGATCCCGCCCTTGTACCTGGGACAGTTGGCCAGGACGTAACTAGCATCTCTTCTTAGAGATTGCTGAGATGCAAAGGTGGGGTCAGGAAAAGAAACATGCCTGTAGGGCCCACCACAAGTGCCACAAACTGCTTTGGTTAATCAAGGTCTCTTCTTTGGCCAGGTAAACATCTCTGAAGAAGAGAGAGATTTAATCTGGAGTTTATCTTCCAAGGGGCTATTGAACCGCATTCTCTACCACAGGGCCAAGGTCATCATCTTTCCCATCCTGATGCACTTCTGGAGAAGGTACCTATCCCTCTCTCGCAGGGTGGGGGAGGCTCTGTGGATGCCAGCCTTTTTCTCCAGCCACCTTTTCTTCTGCCATGATGAAAATGCAGATGAGACACTCCCCCGGAGCTCAGCTGTAGATGTCTGCTTGGAGGTTTGCTGTTTTCGGTATTTCTCATACAGGTTCTGCACCTGGAAGGTGATGAGGAGTTTTCGGGTCTCCACGAAGGACAGGATGTCAATCTCTTTGCCCAGTACAAAAACCTCCTCTGAATCATCTGACATCTACAGTCCAAGTAAGCTGAGTGCCTGTCCCCCTGCTCCACATTTGTCCTCAGGCTTGTTTTTCCAATGCAGAGATGTCCAGACCTGGGTTTTCGGTGTCCCATGGGCTTCTCCTTAAAAGAGCCAAACTCCTTCCTTCAACACAGCTGCTTCACACAGCTTTGAGGACGTATGTGGGTGCAGGCCTATTGGGAAATGAAGCATCTTTAAAACCATTGCTTCCCATCAAATTAAGTCAAAATTGCCCAGTGGGTTTTTAGACATTTCTTTGGGGAATAGGGAAGTGGGTGCAGAGATTTCACGAGCAAAGAGCTGTTGCGTAACTCTTGTTTACTTTAAAAACCAAGTTAAAAATACTCTCGCACGCACCCTAAAACAGAAATAAAGCAACTAATCTTTTGGGTTGCAAGTCAGATGGGAGCTGGAAACGAAGAACCATGCAGCCAAACACCAGGCTCAGTGGAATTACATGGAGGATTCTTTGAACATTTGGAGTGGAGAAAAAGCTTCATCAGACTTGAAGTGACACTCACTAGGACATCTCTGGGGAAAGGGATTTTTTGTTCCTTCCTCGTCCACTTGTTTAGTTTCCATACACTGAATAACAGTGTTTTTTCAATACACTGTATTTCAATACACTGAAAAACACAAAGAAAGTGGTGGTAAGTGCTGTCAGTCTGCCTGACAACCTGGCTCCTTGACTGACTATTCATTTGGTAATTGTCTAATTGATTTTTGATTAAAGGGGAAACCAAAATAGGCACGTACTAATCTTGTTTGACGGTCGAGTGGGTGTCAGCAAGCCGGTGTTCTGCTCCTTGTCATTTATCACTGTCAAGTTCTGGTTAAAAATCAGCAGAGTTATAAGATTTTGATACCTACAGGCAGGTGCTTGAGCTGCTGCTCTGCAGCCGAGCTGGGGTAACAGACCCCCGTGCTGGTGTGCTCCAAGACTGCCAAGCCATGTCTCAAACCACCCCGCACCTTGGGTATTCCCTTGGATAACATGCAATGTTCAGCTTGAGTCTCTACCTACAAAGCCTCACCACGCTTCTAGGGCCTTCTCAAACATAGCTGTTTTAATGCAAAAGCCTACTGCCACCAGAAAAAACAGACAAAACCTAACCCATCACACGTGTATTCCCAGCTAGCGACAAGCCAGAAGTGTCCTGTAACACAGGAGCTACCTGCTGTGTTACCTGGGACAAAGACACGTGTTTGCCAAAGTGTTTCTTCAGGAAACTGGTGGGGGGAGAGAGACGTTCAATTGGTGCCTGAACAGCGCAGCCTGTATTTAACCACACAGAGCCTTGGAGAGTAAGTGCACTGAGATGCTGCTGG